GCTTGCTCGCTCACTCTCTACTTCTCTCTCTCTCTCTCTCTCTCTCTCATCTGATCTTTCCTCTATCTCTCTCTCTTCCCCCTCCCTCTCTCTGTCAGCCTATCCCTCCCCCTACCTCACTTTGCCAGCAGGCACCATCGACCAGTGCACACACAAATGCGTGAGTACACACAAACTCGAGCCCTCTCGCTCTTTCTCCTGTTAATACTTTAACACACAGACAGAAACACACACTCAGGCAGTCCAAGTGTAAACACAGAGGGAGGAGAGAGGAAGGGGGGGAGTAAGGAGAGAGAGTGAGAGGGTGAAAGAGCGAGAGGGCGAGAGAGAGAAAGAATGGAGACTGCGCAGGGGATAAAGAAGTGGAGAGTAAGCAAAAAGAGAAAGATGGGGGGGGGACAGGGGAGGAAACAGAGTTGATGTTGATACCATGAGAAAGCATAAAGGCTTTCACATTTTTCCTGACTGACCTGCTTTTCATCTTGAATGTGACCTCTCCAGTCTATAATAAAACAGAGTAAGGAGGGGGAGCAAGTGGGGAGAGTGGGGGGGGGGGCCCTCACTTGCCAAATCTTCCACACCTCTTGCCAACTTGGGCTGGTGCCATCTCCCAAACCGAACAGTGGACAGGGAGAGAAGCAAAGTCCGAGCAACAGTGGAAAAGAAAGATGATATGCGGTTTTCTACCTGCAGCTCCTTTATGTGGGTTCTTACAGCAAGTGGAGCAGAGGCATTTATCCAGGTGCCTGCCTACACTCTGACAAAGCCTTACAGATTACTGCACTTACTTGAATGCTAGCCAAGAAGTGTGCACAGGCAAACACACAACTTGGATCATGATTCAAGTGATACAACCTTTACAAGACATCTAACACACTGTTCCACACAAAGAGATTGAGCTAGTGGATTTAAAAATCAGCCAACTCTTGTCTGAACGACGGATCTTTCAGCAGGAATGAAGACAAGTTGCAATATTATCCTGGAAAGCAGGGGAAAATTAAAATGACCTGGGACATCAATGTCACTTTCTATTTGAGTAAAGGGGAAGAACACTTGAAGCATGTGGACTTATACTAAGACTCTTGAATAAAAACACGTCAAGAACCTGTCAGAGAGAGCAGTGAGCACATTGATATCGCTGGACAATACTGGATGGGGCTGGGGGGGAGGGGGGTTAAAGAAACTGGACCTATACTCTCCTGTATTTAGGAGGGTGAGCTGCTTTTCGTCAGGAGAAGGTCTGTTGGAATTTCAGAAAAATGTGCCGACTAGTCCTTCAGCTCTGGCTGCTATCGCTGGTGCTCAGTGGTTTCATAAGCACTTGATAGAAGCCCTGCATCCACTGAACTGCCAGGCTAATCCTTTGGGATGGAACACCCCACTAATCCCACCACAGGAGAATGGAATTGAAGACATTAAGTAGGATTACTACACAGTCCTGTGTTCAAGACAAGCCGTGCCAGATATTGAAAAATAACCCCTTAACAGACAAATTATGTACAAATAAACAACCTGATTGCTTAGGCCGATGCACATGTAGCCAAGAGGCCGCAGTGGTCATATTCGGCAGGAGATAATGGCACCATTTCTACTATTATTAAAAGGAAGGATGTATTTAATTACTCAGAAGGAAAACTTAAAAGTAACACAAAGCCACGCATCTGACCGAAATCCTCATTATGCATCAACATTTTAATGTATGCAACACAGATTACTCATTTCAAAAAGTAATTATGTCTAGATTAAAATACACAGTCATATCAGCAAACTTGTCAAACTGGTATTTCTGTTCTGTGGGGAATCCCTTTCTAAGAGTGAAGAATTAGAAACCAAGGAGGATCATGTACTTTGCACAACACACACAGTACAAGTGTGGGCACAGTATCAGAGGCCTCTGTGAATCAGCCATGGGCTGCTAGGTAATCTTCTGTCAAGAGATAATAAAGGCAGGTTAATGACTGCAGCAATTTTGCAAAGGTTAACTAAAAGGGCCAGCCTTTACAGCCACCATGATAAGAAAGGCTGCCTTGACCCAGAGAAAGGAAATTGCTAGAAAGAGCGGCAGCCACAGTCCACACTTGTGACACACAACCACAACTTCGAAGCATGTGGCAATTGCTGCCTCACGAACAAGAAGGCACATCCTCATCATTTGTCTGGTGTGCTTTTAAGGCTACATGTGGCATCTCTTCAATGAACACAAATGTTGCAAACAAAGTCATGTAGGAAAGAAAGGTTTGTTGTGTGTTACCTTTTTTGGCAGTTTCCATCTCTTCTTCGGTCCAGCGGGAACTCTCATTCATTTCTAGATTAGCTGTCTCAGACACACGCACGCAAGCACGCACACACAAACACACGCACGCACACACAAACACACACACACACAAACACACATGAGCAAGTAAGAAGAAGGAGGGGGAGTGGGCAGTTGCAAGTGACAAAGTCAGTTAGGGAGTGACTGACAAGAGGAAAGGAAAGACAAATTAGAGAAGAAAAAAAACTATATGTGGGGGCAGGGTGTTTTTGCTGCTTGCTAAAAAGGCACTGTTGCCTAGGTCTTTAGGGGCTGTTTGTTTTAGATGGCGGAAGGAGGAATTCGAAGGGGAGAAGTCAGTTAATGATTATAGACAACAACTGGCTTTTCCCTCTCTGTGCAGGTTAGTAGCCAGAGTGGCCCTGGCCCTTCCCAACACATAGAAAAGTTGGAACTTGAATATGTGAAGGACAAAGCAGCCAGCCAAGCACTGCTCTGAACATTTGGACAACAAGAATGGGAGGTTGTTGGGAGTCCCTGCGGCTTAACTCACTGGGGAATTCCGCGAGCCTAAACTTAGAGATGGCAAATGCAACATGCAAAATATACTCTGCAAATAACAGCTGATATATTTTTTAAATGTATAACCAATAGCAATATTGATGCTGTGAGTACAACTAACTGACAATGTGCAAGGACTCCGTAGGGGGACAGAGGTGGCACTTAAATAACTTGAGTGGGAAGAGGACTAAAGGGCCAACAGTGCACTCTGGTGGTATGGGACATGAAATCATTATTTGGAGTACAAATGAGCCACTGAAAAGATTTTTGTCATCCTGTTCAATGGCTGCCAGTGAACGTTTATTCAATCATGTTCTCAATGGCTCAATTGACTACTGTATATTAATTAATTCACTGATGTTGGCATTACACATTTGGCTGTACCTTATCCTTAAGGATGTTATGGAGAAATATGAGACATTTGACATTTATTGTAGTCAGGAAATAGACTAACATTTTTATTTGTTATTTGTCATGTCCTTGTTTATGATGATACTAATGCAGCGTGTTATACCGGAGACAAATTCCTTGTGTGTTCTACATACTTGGCCAATAAAGATGATTCTGATTCTGAACAACATCTCTCAACAACTAGTTAACATTTATTGTTGTCCATGGGGGGACTTAAGTCGTGAACCTCCAGTTTAAAGTTCAAAGACCTTACAAATGAGCCTGATTTGAGACTGATTTGTCATTCAACCACCAAGACTGACCGAGCTCATTGTTGACAGGCGGTGTGGTCGTCTCCTCCACCTCACTGGTCATTGAGCGGGTGATGCGGCCCTTACGGCGCCCCTGGCTGTTGGCTGTTCGTCGACCCTTGACAGCCACTGCAGGCTCTTTGTCCTCTGCATCTTCCCCAGAAGTTTCATCTCTGCAATTTAGAAATGGCATCATATTTTCAAGCAACATTTAAAAGCACATTGTCATCTAGTATGTCATAAGCGGTATAGGGAGGGCATGAGCTCAAGGGATCATCACAATGATTGACATACAGTATGTGCTCAGTGAATTAGTCACGTTTTCAACATCTGGGGAGTTTGCCACTGTACAATGCGTTATAGTAAACCTTTATCTGACTTTGGTTTCCACCACAGGGTGTGTACTTTTGATTGTAGTACAAATATATATAATTCAGTTTTTTTGTTGCAGTTTCCCCACTTTAATGTTTAAGATCACCAAGCAAATGTAAAGATCCAAGATAACGTAAGTAAACAGAAAATGCGTTGTTAAATGGTCATTTTATTTATTTAGGGGAAAAAAATATATTTAAAGCTTCCTGGCCCTGCTCCATTGATAAATCATGAATTTACTGTGGCTAATCACACTTTCATTGACTGCACCCAATCCTGATTACCTCCAGACCTGTTCAGTCAAGAAATCCCCTAAATAGAACCTGTCTACTAAAGTGAACCAAAAGATCTCAAAAGACTGCAACAAAATGCCATGATCCAAAGAAATTCAAGTTCAGATGAGAAATAAAGTAAATGACATCTATCATTCTGGAAAGGGTTACGATGTTTTCCTAAAGCTTTAGGACTCCAATAAATCACGGTGAGAGACAGTACCCACTAATTGAGAAAGCCTATATTAAGGTCTCTGTTCAACAATGAAGAAGAGACTGGGCAAAAATGGCATCCATGGCAGAGCTCCAAGGCGAAAATGACTGCTGACCAAAAAGACCACAAAGACTCATCTTACTTTCACAAAACACATCTGAATGATTCCAAAGACCTTTGGGACAATATTCTATGGATGGACAAAATGAAAGTTGAACTTTTGGGAAGGTATGTCTTGTTACATGTGGGGCTGCTTTGCTAATGGAGAATGTTTGGCCATCATTTTGTGACCTCAAACTGAAGCACATTTGAGTTCTGCATCACGACAACAATGAAAAAGACATCTGCAAGTCAATTTCCGAATGGCTCAAAAAACAAAACGAAACAAAACAAAAACAACCAAAAAAAACCTAACAAACAAATGAAGGTTTTGGAGCGGCCGAGCCAAACTTGAATTCCGAGCCGTTCATGCTCGAAAAAAAAACTCCAGTGTTGCTGAATTAAAGGAATTCTGCAAGGAAGAGTGCGCGAAAATATCTCCACAGAGAGGTGAAAGACTGATTGCCAGTTATAGAAAAACTATTACGGTTATTTCCTCTGAGGCTGGGCAAACCAGTTTTTAGGTTCAGGGGGGCAATCACTTTTTCACACAAGGATGTGTAAGTATGGATTATTTTTTTCCCTCCCTTAATAATGAAAACCATTCAAAAATTGCATTTTGTGTTTACTTGTAGTGCCTTTGACAAATATTTAATTTTGTTTGATGATGGGAAACAAAATTTAAGTGTCACAAACATTTGAACTGAATCTGAATTAATTAAGTGGAACACAGCATAGCAAAATATAAATGAGTGGCATTTGACATTTGTTTTGTTTTTGTAGCTATTTCCTGCATAAAGCCAGGCTTTGGTCACACAAGTAACTACAGTGAAACTCCTCTGCAACGAAACCTACATGGGCGAAAATACCCCTTGTGTGAAAAAATGTTCATGCATGAAAGCCATTCCCACTTTTCTACTCCCCCTACAACGAAAAATCCCCCTGTTCTGTAATGCGAAATATTTTTCTCTGCTCTTGCCTTGTGACGAGATTCACTACAACGAAAACAAGGATTCCGCAAAAGTCTAATCCAACCTCAGCCAACAGCGACCTCTGCTGCTTCGTTCTGAAACTGCAACAGCAACCACCACACTGGTTTACACATGCGCAGTAGTCCAGGAAGTATTTCGTTGCATTGCTAAAATGGCTACAAAACGGACCTTTGGATGCCAAGCAGCTAAAACAAGAAGAGCTCTGATGCTGGAAGAGAGTGTAAAAGTGATCAAAATGAAAGACGGAGGAAGCAAAATAAAAGACAAATTATCCAAGAAATTGATGTATGTGAAAGTGAATGCTGATCGTAAATTTCGCAATTTCTTTACCTTTTTTTCTCTTTGTGCACAACTGTACATTGGCTATACAGTACAGTACTGTAGTTTTTTTATAAACTGTATAAACCGAACTCAGTTTTGCTCGTGCTGCCTTTTTAAAAAAATACACTAGCGTGCATGCATGCTACCATATTTTTTAAGCTCGTGTATGTTGTACCATGCTTGCGTCTAATATTACAATAATATACAGTGTGTCTTGTGTATGTGTTAACTACAGAAAGAGCACCCATAACTGACACTGTGACTCTTAATACGGTGTGCAGTATGGTTGTGAAATTACAGGAGTGAAAAATGTGACAGAACAGAGAATGTAGTTTAACAGGCTTCAAAACTGACATAACACACACACACACACACACACACACACACACACACACACACACAGAAATGTGAATGCAAATACTGCTGTGTTACTGTTAGCGCCATAGCAAGCCAAGGCTAGATGAGGAGGAACCCACAACAAACTCTCAATTCATTTTTTCTCAGCTCCATTAATGTTAATGTGGGGTACAGATGCTAGTGAGCCTGCTGAACGAAGGTCGGCTCGGAATCACCTAGCTATGTCGTCTCAGGTCTAGGCAGAAAGGAGGTAATGCTTCATCAGCATCTTCAAGTGGAACACCAATGCTCAATAATTTTCAATGCATCTACAGTACAAAGTACAACCTAAGATTAGATAATAGGACGCCTGCATACACAGATCGGGTGCATTCAACTCTTGATTTCCAAGGAGAACAGAAAGAGTGGTATTCCATCTGTGTTTTCTTTATATCCATTGCTGTTTGACAGTATTGCACAAAGCCATCCACCCACACATAAACAGACATAATCCGTTTACACTGTCAATAGCAAAACCACAGAACAGAAGAACTCATCGATGGTGTTTCCAAGGAAAACAGCTGTTTTAATAAGGTGAATGAATTCCAACTTGGTGTCAGTGGAAAATCTGGCTAGAGGTGAGACATTGGTCCTTAAATTCAAAGAGCAATAGGATTTCCAGACGAATTTTCTCTCTCTAAAACACAGGTGTCAAACTCACGGTCCGGGGGCCCAATCCGCCCTGCCACATCATTTTATGTGGCCCGCGAAAGCAAATCAAACATGTCAACTTCTATGATGACTGCTAAAATCTGTTCCAAGATTTCAACTTCTCATATGTAATAAATAAGTGAGAAATTGTAAGCATTTTCTTGTTACCAAACCCCTCATTACACTAACTTAACAATCATTCAATGAACCATTATTCTTGACTTCTTTATGTTTTCACAGTCCAAACGGCCATCCAAGGGAAACTGTCACTACAATGTGGCCCGCGACGAAAATAAGTTTAACACCCCTTCTCAAAAACATACTCTGATACAAGGTTGGAGGGTGCTTTAAAAACCTGCTTCAATACAGTTATTAGTAACTTATTTAAAAAAAAACACACAGCTAGTAATGAAATCGAAGCATCATATTATTAAAGTAATGCTACTCTATTACTTTTGGATTACCCAAATACCAAATATGATAATGATGACTCAGAATATACATCACTATTTATTTTGAATTTTCGGTCCTATGAATTTTTTAATAATATGCATGGTTTTGGAAAAAAAATGAAAATGAACAAATATGGACAAAAAATGAAGGAATAAACCAAGGCACTCAACATTATTTTGCAAAGAAGAAATTTTAGGCAGTCATGCTATCCACATTCAGGGTGCTGCGGATGGATGGATGGATGGATGGATGGATATACTGTACTTTTATTGAAAGTGAGGAAAATTAGATTTTAGACATTTTTATTGTTAATATGCTTTTAAATAATAAATCTTTTGGTGGATTGTGACGCAGGTGAAATTTATGTGAAGTGCAGCGTACTCGCAGTGAGCTCTGTCATAGAAGGACACAGCTTCACTCTGACAGCTCACACTTTTCTTTGCATGTTTGAGATGAATCAGTACTTCAACATCTTTGTCCAAGTGAATAGCGGTCACCACTTCCTCCTTTCCCTCCATGTTGCTTTCAAACTAGCCATGTGTGTCTGGCAGCCACGACATTTCCTGTTCCCTCGCCTCCTCCTGATTGTACACCGTCTCAGTAACAATTTTTTTTTGTCTCCCGAATACGTAATGCCTGTACATGTATTCCATTACTCCCCAAGCCTGCTCCTCCAGTATCTCACTCTTTGCTGTTTGACACAGAAAGCAAGGCATGAAAGTAACGATCTGAAGTAAAGATCTGAATAAATACACTACAAAGACTTGCCTTTTATCATGATTTCAAAAGTTTTTCAAAGACCGCGATCAAGATGACACAGCATCAAAATCCAATTGCGAACGTAATTCTCTCTGATGAATTAGTGGTTTGGGCTTACTTAATTCCATCCTCCTTGTCTTCAGCCTCTGGTTTATCCTCCTCCCTCTCTCCTTCCTTGTCTTTCTCCTCCTTTTCTTTGTCTTCCTGGCTGTTTCGATTGACTTGTTGCTGCTGCTGCTGTTGCTGCTGCTGTTGCTGCTGCTGTTGCTGCTGCTGCTGCTGCTGCTGGCCATGCTATATATTATGGAACAGGAACAAGAAGGCATCCTATTACAAACATGGACCCAGATGATCTACTGATGGAGAACCAACGTCAATTATCCATTTACGAGAATGAACATCAGAGTTGTCATTTTAAGCTTCGACGTACGAGTTGAGAATGAACATCAGAGTTGTCATTTTAAGCTTCGAGTTTGTTATTAGTGTTATTAGTGTTATTAGTGAAATGACAACTGCCCTTCCGAGCAAAGCAATTTGCAAGAATCACATATCAATGCAATTATTTACATATTTCTAAATCATTTCAATGAACATCTTTTCTCTTGTCTCCCTTTTTTCCCCCCAATACCATTTTTCGTGTTGAAATACTCTTAAACTGACCTGCTACAAAACAACAAAGCAACAAAATATACTTTTTTGAACAGCAACAAATGGCATGCAAACAGATCGATTCGACAACACTGCCCGTATCTTGTTTATATAACACAAAGTAATCTGGGTTCACAGAATTTCACGTAACTAAAAAGAATGCCCGTAAAGGCAAAACAAAACAGGATACGAAAGTTCAGAAACCGCAGAATAAACTGTTCTGCTGTATAACTTTTGGTTTTTGAGCAAACAGTACCACTTCCTCACAAATGCCTGTCTGGGCTTGAGGGTGAGAGTTCAGATGAGTACACACATCCAGGCTGACAACTCTTCTTGCACAAATGACAACTACTGCTACTTGTGATGTATTTGACATTGCTGCCTTAGGCCAAAGCAACACGTTCATTTGATGATGATGATCTCAATTCACTATCTTCAATATGTGACACGGACTGACAAAAAGAGTGGCAGGCTACCAGGAAATATATAGTACGGTTAAAGAGATGATCAAGAGCAGGGATGAGCAACTTTGATGAGGGGGTCAACAATATTTTATCCATACCTCGAGGGCCAGACTTTGAGGATGCACCCCCCTCCATTCATAGGGAAGCTATGACTGTCTTTTTAATAAAAGGCAAAGATATGCTAGAAAAGACTGATAATTATCAATTGAGGTATACCATCTCACTTTCATCTACAAGTGCGCAACGCCTCTATTCAATTATTAACTTGAATGAACAGAATTTCCATATCGTTTTATTTAAAGCATAATGTGTATTGATGACACTAATTCTAATAAATCATCAGCAACAGCTCTTCTAAATGCCGGATGTGTAGCTGGCTCCCTTAATATTATTGTGTTTTGAAGTCAAGAGGCAATAACATCTTGACAGATCTTGGCAATTTGACCAATTTATGTATTGATACCAGACACACTGGCAGCTGCGATACACCAATAGAGCCTTATCAGCGACAGTGTTATAACAGTTCACTTTGTACCACCCTCAAATTAAGCACATATGAACAAGTTCTGTTCTGCTCCAAGTTTCATCATCTTAGAATGTTATGTTTAAAAAGAAAACAAGACGATTGCAACATTCATAAGGAAAGTAGAGGAGAGGTGAGCATAGCTTATTCCTGTTTGACTTGTTTCACCCAGAGGTTCTGGCATTTTGCCTAGTACATGACTGCTACAGCCTCCGGAACTGTAATCAGCTAAAAGTAATATTATCATTGAGAGAGCATGTGTTATTCAAAGACATCCAAAGACATGATTAGGTGCTTTCAGTCTTGAAAGCTGACAATACCTGGCTTCTTCCTCGCCGTCTGTAGTTTCTCCGCACTATGTTCTTATAGTTCTCATTCTTTTTGGTCAAATAATAAAAGAGCACGCATTCTGCCACCGTCTGAAAAATGAAAGAAAAAAGAAATGTGATTTGCCAGGAAATGTTATTTCGGAGAAGACTGGACAACTGAGTCAAATACAAAATCCATACCTTTCTTTCTAGAAAAGATGCAATTAGACCAAAATTTTTAGGGTGTTGGATGAATCTGTGGAAGCAGAACATGAAAAAATATGAACAACCTGAAGATATTTTGAAGAACACTTGCATGAAGGAGTAAGCTGTGAAACCTCTTAGAGTATCACAAAACGAAACGACTAAATGAGAGGTTTGTTTCAGAAATAGAGTACAGTGGGTATTCAACTCAATCAGGCTACTCTTAATTAGACAAATTACAATATTGCATGGCTTAAAGTAAGAAATTTTCAATGCCTAAAATGTGTTCTTGACAAGTGGGGTGCTTTCACCACGAAGTTCATTAATTATTCATTACATTTTGTTTATTTATATATATGTACGTATGCATTGCATGTTTTTATTGGACTTTCAGTCAGTGTTCCTGTGTGGTTGTGCTTCAAATGTCATCCCTCATTTGTCACAAAAAGGGGAAGATTCATTTCCTTTCCTACAACTACCCGACCCCTTTATTATCCACATAATAAACATTTTTTGTATCATCTCGTTCAATCTTGTTAACATTTAGCATATCTGGAAGTTATTGGTTTGACCACGAGTGCCCTCGGGGACACTGTTGCGCAAGACACTAAAAACCTTGTTTGCCCCTGATGTGATGGCGGGGAGTTTACACCGACCTCTGCAATCAGTTGACGAGTGTGTGAATGAGAGGCAATGCAATACTGTCAAGCATTTGACATAAATATGCGAAATAAACGCATGCCATTTACCACCCTAACTTTACTGAAGAGTTGACCTTACTTCTCTCTGAAAGTGTCCTTTTCTTGCTCGCTCCACATGTTCATGACCTGCCGGTCCTTGTACACCTTCATGGGGTCATCCATCAATCCATTCATGTTGATGAACTTGATACGTTGCTGCTCAGCATCAAACAGCATTGGTGGGATAACTGCCAGCTGTCGCATTTGCTTCTCTGTGTTCTGATGTTCGCACGCACGCACGCACGCACGCACGCACGCACGCACGCACACACACACACACACACACACACACACACACACACGCACATTAACATCCAGGAATGAGACAGACCGTTTTTGAAAGGGAAGGGCGCTAAGACTGTACTTGTGGTTGTCATGAACCGGAAGTAACATTACGGCTGTGTTAAAGCACTACAGAGGCAGGAGAGGAAGTGAAGTTTCCTCAGCAATTTCAGCTTCTGGAGACATTCCACATCAAATGTGAACTCCACACACATTTACCTCAGACTCTCTAGTAGCTATAAAAGTGAAGAAAAAATGCTCTAAATGGTTCTAACACTGCAGGGGTGGCAATTAAAGGTCCATCTAAACACCTAAAGTGGCAGGCAATGTCTGAACATCTTACTGGCGGGTATAGAACTGAATAGAAGACCTTTATTGTCATTGTACATTGCATCTATACTGAAACTGGGGAGCATCGCAAGGTTCGTGTTTCATCAAAGTTTTTTAAAAAAATTAGTAATGTAAAAGCCACACAAAACAATAACAAATTGTATGTTGAAAATGGCAGCAGAGTCAGAGTCATTGGATGTGTAAGTAAACAAAACTGAATTTGCAGTGCAAATGGCAGTAAGGCACTCATGTTAAGTAGCAGAGTAGAGATTTCTGAATGAACCACCAGTAGGAGCAATATGGGATGAAAACAGATATGTGGTACGTATATTTTATAGTATTTTTACTATAAAATTTAATTTTCAGTGTTTCATTTTTTTGGGCCTTTCGAGGTGATTTAGCTGTGCCAGAGGGCAGCGTCCAAGTGCCCCCTATTGATGAGTCGCCACTGCTTCTTTGATGATCAAACAGTGAAAATTGTGTAATTCAAGGGACAGAATCTTCGACAAAAAAGATTACCTCATGCTCTGATATTCCGTCAATGATCTCGGAGACCTCATGTTCGCTGCGAGCTGCAGAAGAGCTCAGTCCACCTCCTCGCTGCCCAACGCGGCTACAAAATCAAATCACGCAAAACATCTTCCACTATTGGAGTTCTTGGAGTAATAATTTCACATAACCAACATCAAGAGAATAAGTCAGTTGGAGTCACTGGGACTGAATATGTGAAGCTCACCTCTGAATTCGTTCCTGCATCTCTCTCTGCTTACGAATCTCTGGGAACTGTTTCTCATAGTACTCCCGCACCTTGCTTTCCTTGGCTCGGCGCCGAGGATTGTTTTCAATGCGCTCAACCTTCTTCTCCCAGGCTTCCATCAGTTGGTCGTAACGCTGGCAGAATTTCTGCTCCTGTATTGTCACACAAAAAGGCAGGCATTTTATTTTTGACTTACTGAACTGATTCTAGTATAACGTTGTTATGTGCTGTATATATTTTGTGTTCCACACAACACTCATAAAAGTAAATCACACACACACACAGACATTGAAGGAGAGGGATAGAGTAAAAAGACCCACAACCCTCTGGCTCCAAAGCCCACGTCCTTACACTGATACTCTGATGAGGAGTTTTCTAATTTCCAAATTGTGATCTCCTTCCACAATCTCTCTCTCACTCACTCTCACTAAGATTCGAGCTGGCTATACAACAGAGCACACCCCATTGATCCCGACTTCTACTTAAAGCTGTATGCGAGTTGGCTCTGTCTCACTCAGACATAAGCCTAAATAACAGAAATTCAACAGATTAATTTCCAACTTGAAAAAAAAAGCACACACACGAATGATTGGATAGATATTATTCCTTTATAAAACCCTAATCATCCAGCAGAGCACAAAGTATCCTGAAACAGATCACCCTGTGCGCGCTATCGTCAGCCTAAAATGGCCACTCAATCTAAGGAGCTGCTGACCCAATTTCACACTAGTCATCCCTCAGTGGCTGAGTCCCAGCAGGGTAAAAAAAAATACTGAATTCTCTATACATACCCATTGCTTACGAGCATGATTTCTTCTCTTGAAGTATAAGATGAGTTTTTTCCTCATCGCCTGGTTTCTAAGAAGGATGAAAAAAAAACCTGGTATTAGGAAAACGGCGATGCAGAGGATTAAAAGCAAAACATAATAATAGTAGTCCCCCCCCTCCCCACACACTTGTCACTTGATTTCTTACTAAATTTGTAGGATTTGGATTACCCTACTCTACAAAAAAAGATGCACACACAACTATATCTATTTTTTCAAACAAATGAAATGTGTCTTGCAGTTCTTCAAACAAAGGTCAGGCACAGTAATCTCCTTAGGCCGCCGCTCAGTTTGGATCTTTCTTTGCTGCAAGACAGTTTTATTCCTGACACTTAATCTGTCAGTTGTAAGGTCACACTCCCCGCTGATTAATGTAATCTTATTCTACGTTAGTCAATTTAACTGAGCAGTGGCGTTACAGGCAAGGAAAAGGGACTACAGAGAGGGTTACTAGTGGTATAAGTTTTATATCGCAACTGCAAGATGACAATATAAGATGCTGAAAAAATAAGTACAGAGGATAATCTCTCCATTTCCCAACATGTTATCTGCAATACAACTGGTAAAATTCCAAAGCCCTTACCCATTACACACATGAAAAAAAAAGCATAAAAGCTCCAAACACATACAAGCAAACACTATGACTATGACAAATTCATCTCGGACAGTGGGGGGCGCGTCTGACATTGGAGAACATGCCGTTGTATTTTTTATTTTATTTTTTTTACTGTCCTAGAATAAAGTGCAGTTGCACCTCCACTACATTAGGGGGCAGTGGCGCTCTAATTGGCAGAGTTTGCATAGGGAGCATTCGAAAGGAGGAAATACAGTATGACGAGGCGTACGTAGCGCTTGACTTCACTGTGACGACGGTGGCAGACGAGAAAGATTGGCGTGCTTACTTGTCTAAAAATGTTGGTAGCGGACAGCATGAACCCAAATAAATTAAGGCGTCACTTAAAGACATTACACCCCAATCACGCTAATGAGCCGCTTGAGTTTTTTTGACGAAAACGTGCCAAATATTGCGAACAATCATGCCGCTTTGTGACTGCTACTTCGGTAAACTAAAATACAGGTACCGGCTACACGTTGAGCTGGAGCCGAGAGTTGCTCTGTCCTGCTTCAAACCTCTCTTCGAAAAGCTGTGCATTGCGAACCATGCTCATTGTAGCCATTAATCCAGACATCATCTTTGATTTAAAAAAAAATCAGCACAAATTATTTTAAAGTTGTTTTTAATACTGTGCTCCTGAGTTAATGTTGGTGATCAGTCTGAATGCATTATTATTTATTGATTTTATGTAATTTTATTTTTCAGTATCGTATGGTTTGACATGGTCAGTCAAAAATGTTTAGTTTAATTAAGGATTTAATTTTATTTTTGAATTTCAGATGCACTTTAAATCTTTTCTCACACACGCGCACACACACACACACACACACACACACACACACACACACACAAAATATACTTGGGTGTATCTTGCATGAACCATAGTGCACAGTATAACTACTGTACATTTGTTTGTCCTTACTTTACTCCAGGGGTGTCCAAACACGGTTCACAAGGGCCAACTTCCTGCCTGTGTTCCATCACTCCCTGCTATAACACACGTGATTCAAATTATCAGAATCGTTATCTTGCTTCCTCAGAGCTTGCTGATCAGATGATCCTTTGAATCATGTGTGTTTCAGCAGGAAGGGATGGAAAACAGGCAGGATGATGGCCCTTGAGGACCAAATTTCGACACTCCCGCTTTACTCTAAGCTTGAGCTAAATGGAATCAGGCAGGGATGGAGTCTGGACAAAAGTTGTTGATTGCAAGATGTGGGCTGTTTCGCTCCTAACTCGATAGTCACAAGCCTCCATCGTATCGCCTCCATGGCTACGAATAAAATACACTTTTTAACAAGTATCGTTCTCACAAAGGGAGTAATGAGTATGAGGAGTAATTAACAGAGGGAAAGCCAGAGAAGCGATGCTAATTGCTAAACTAACGGAATGTCATTGTGACGGACCAGAATCAAAACTGCTTGGGTGACTGAATACACGTCACAGAGGTCTCGCTGGAACCCTGTTACAGTGGCGCGTATCCAACCTTGAACAGCAAAATAGGAGACAGGAATAGAGTTCTGGCGTTTGGTACGTCAGCTGGGAGTAGTGGCTTAAAGACGAAAAGTATATCGCGATTGAGGATAAGCAAATCAAGAATGGATTGGATATAGTACCTGGATATTGAACGCATTTTAGATTACTAATGTGATTTGTTTTCACAATACAGCCCTGAAATTTAGATTTTTTTGTGAGATTTTTTTTGAAAGCCTAAAAGTTACTTTACTGTACATGAAGTGCTATTTTCCTTGCTTTTAATCCCTTTTATTTTGATCAAATGAGATATATATGAAACGTATGTCGAGCCCTGCACATTTTTCAACCATTTATTGTATCTTGTAAAAACTATTTACTGGCTCAGTCTGAACATGTTCAACAAGCGTTAACAGACTATGCACACAATAAATGAGATGGCAGGAACGATCATTTCTAAATCTGGTTTATATCTTGTCTTGGAAAGAGCACTTCATATTTAGCTGAATGCAGGCCCCGAGTGTTCCATTTGGAGCACCGTGAAAATTCCCGCTGGGCTGCCAGAGACCGTGAGTGAGTCAAGTACAGTATCTTTATACCTCTTGATACTCTGCAATAATTTATTCATTTTCTGCATTTTAATGATAAACTATTGAATTGATTTGAATCCAAATTCAAAACAAAGTTGTTCTTAAAATAGAGAAACTGATTTGTACAGTCAATTTCCATCACAATCATTACTGTCACACCATAGCAAACAACCAACATGGCTGCATTGTTTGTCATACCATCCACAGTTATGGTTTCATAAAATTAAATCCAGACATACCCAGAATCTTGCTCAACACATTCATAATATAAGCAGGAGCAAAACTAAAGTGGGTTGGTCTGAGCCATTAAACTCCAGGGCTGAAAATTGGTCCCACTCCCACCCTGAATAACACAATGTAAATTTGAATATGTTAAAAAGAAGAGGTCAAAGTACTCACCATTTCAATTAAAGGATACCAGATTTGTGCATTTTTATTATCATGTATTATCATTTTTATTATCATTTTGGCATGAAGAGGCATATGCACAAGTGTTAACTTACATTTTGATGTTCTCATGGTACTGCTTGGTATCAGAAGGCTGATTGTACAGTGGCTGAAAGAAAATAGAACAGTTTCTCAGTGTTCAGTTCTGCAGCAACATGGAAGCACCAGAATAAACTAGGATCAATTTGTTGCTGTGTCCCAGACATATTTGAGACTTAATAATCAACAAAAAGAAGGGACAAAGCAGTACGGTCATTATTGAAAGTAACCTAGTTCAAATGCTATTTCATCATTGAGAGCCAAATTCACAATCTGTGCAAGATGGATGCAGATGGATGTTTTGACGGTTGACAATACAGTACGGTATGTAAGAATAACAGTGTGTTAGGGGAAAAAAGTACAATTCCTAAACAGGAACAAGCAATATTCTTTTTTTCAAATATGTCACAGAAAAGCTCTTATGGATTTGATTTTGATTTTCCTTGCCTAATGAAGCCTGAACTGCTCAACCGCTTGTGCCCTGATTGTTAGGAATGATGCAATTCAATTACATTTCCTTACGTCACTTATTTAAAAATGAAAATCAAAAGACAAAAAAAAAAAAAAAAGCAGGAAGATAATAATATGGAAACGGGAATATGACAAATATAACTCACCAGTTCTACCCTTGGTCCAAGTCCCTCCAGTATCCTGTGTGCCTCTTCTGCTTTTTTCTGGTAACAGAACACAACCAGAAGTACTAGATTAGCCGACTGCCTGCACCTCAGTCATCACCATGACAACACAGTGAGCACGCTCACTTGAACGCTTAGACTCCACTAGAGCCGGCTGGGTGACTGGATGCATCGATGGAGAGATGGATACATTGACTATTATTAGGGCTTTTAGCCCAAGCGGGGCCATAATTCTTTGCCTTAGCCCATCACAACTCTTGACAGGGAAGAAAAAACAAGCAAAGGCAGCCAGCGGGGGTGGCTTGCTTTTAAAGGGCTTTGTTGTTCTCATGGAGACATCAGATGAATGATATCAATATTAAGAAACACTACTCACAAAACGTTGACAGACATTTGGCTTTCAGGTGAAATTAATGGAAAAATGTAAAAAATTCACGCTACAGTTATATCATATCATGAAAGTAGGACATTTAAGTAAAAGTTGTCGTCTTGGTCTCGTGATGTCAAAATGTGAACAGCATGTTGAGGATGCTTGTTTAAACGCCAGCTCTAATTCAACCAGGATATTTATTGGTTTATTCAAGGACCAAACGCCTGTTGTGAATCTTGCTGTTAAGCTGTTGGAGAACAGCAACTTGTGCAAAAAGTACTGAAAAAATAAACGGTTGGACATGTGCATTCAAAAGCTCAGAGAATGTCACATTAACTTCACCTGCAAAGGTTTTTAATGCATTTTAGGCTCGTCCTGAAAGCCAAATATCCTTAATGTTTTGTGAGTAGCGTACAACTACCGCAAGTAAGTCTTCAAAAAGAAATGCTTGCATGTTAGCCCCTATTATACTGCGTGTAAAAGCCAGAAATCTTCTTTCCATTTCCGAGTTTGTGCTATCAGTGCCACTCTTGTCATTTCTGTCCAATGGGAGCACCGATCGTCACAGGCGTAGATGTGATTACGGAATATAGTTCACATGAATTAGCCGCTACAGGTGTTGGAAAAATCACTTAATATACAGGGTGGGCGTGAGCTGTGGCTCATTTGCATGTGATATGACAATAGGAAGGGGAGGGGGGAAAAAAGGAAGTGGAAAGTGTTATAGAGGTCAAAACACAGAGTAACTGTTACACCCTCCATCGTCCCAAATAAGTCTTAAGCAATCTATGAAGTGCAGTGATTTCACTGAGTGCTGCAGGAGAGCACTGAAGTCATGTAGACACTCTCTATACTGGGATGTGAATTCGTAAACGCTTCTGAGAGCACTGTCACAGTGATCTGGGAGTCATCAACATTGCTTTATATGTTAACAGGTGATATGATGATACAAGTGGTTGAATAAATGGTTTTACATAAACTGGCGTAGCCTGGTGTTGTGATTTAAGCCTATTCGCTCTTCCCAAATCTTGCTAGGGCGAAACGATCATGGAAAAAATTATAAGCACGCTGAATAAACATGACTATTCATAAAACGTAGCATTTATTCAACAACCAAAACTCAACTCAAAATAGAACTTGAAAGAACATACAAAAAAGAAATTTGTGCGCACATTGGTCTCTTTGGGTAAGTGTGGTGCCATGTATGCATGGATACACACCTTTATATTAAGATGAAAAGAGTAGAAGAAAGTAACGATTTAACTTAACAAACCTCGTTATTCCTGCATTAGGAAGAATATTGGCCTTTGAGTATTGCTATATTACTTATCTGTATGTGATACTACAGCATTTTAGGGTGAATATTCCTTATTTAAAGTTATTAAAGTTATTCATTATTTGAACACCTGGAACGCGATGCTAATTTTCTATTAGGCTATCAATGGGTGTTTACATTATCTTTAGCATTAGCGCTGGCAAGGTTTCTAAAACAAAGTATGACTTATATTGAAAGGGATACTTAACATGCTGTATGTTTATGATATCCTTTATTTGTCCCACACTGGGGAAATTTACAGTCGACAGCAGCAAAATTGTGGGTCGACAGAAGAAGAAAAACAAAGTGTTTGCATTCACAAAACAAATGTTTCAGTTTCAATGTACACAACAGTTCAATTAAGTGCAATATAAATATAGATATAGATAAGGTGGCTGTGCTATTTACAATTGTTTTTCACGTAATTTTATTTATTTTTTATTCAGAAGCCTGACAGCAGTCGGTAGGAACGAGCGGCGGTATCTCTCCTTGCAGCGCTGGTGTAACAGTCTCTGGCTGAAGGAGCTACCCAGTGCTGTCAGGGCGGGCTGGAGGGGGTGGGAGGGCATCAGTTTTGCGGCAGTACAAAGTTCATAATTTGTGTATTATTAATTTGATAACTCCATTAATGTTGATGGACATTTAATAACTTGAAAAACACAAAAACGGCAACCTACAGTGTCAATATCTCCTTTAAATTTAGTCATGTAATGGTTGGCCAGATAGCATTTATGAAAGACTTTAAAAGTTATTTCTTTCACTCAAAACATGATGAAAATGTAGAATCCAAAGGTTACACACCACACTTTTACCTTCATTGTAGATTCAAACAAAGATTAATTCCACAAGATATTTCAAATTATTATTGGAATCATAAGCAACAAGATCCCCTAAACAGGAAGCTAACAAAAAAAATGTCCTGGCTCCTGTCTAGAATAAGGTTGAGGGAATATTAACCTTTTATGTGTTTCATGTAAAGTGCACAGTTCAATTAAGTGCAATATAAATATAGATATAGATAAGGTGGCTGTGCTATTTACAATTGTTTTTCACGTAATTTTATTTATTTTTTATTCAGAAGCCTGACAGCAGTCGGTAGGAACGAGCGGCGGTATCTCTCCTTGCAGCGCTGGTGTAACAGTCTCTGGCTGAAGGAGCTACCCAGTGCTGTCAGGGCGGGCTGGAGGGGGTGGGAGGGCATCAGTTTTGCGGCAGTACAAAGTTCATAATTTGTGTATTATTAATTTGATAACTCCATTAATGTTGATGGACATTTAATAACTTGAAAAACACAAAAACGGCAACCTACAGTGTCAATATCTCCTTTAAATTTAGTCATGTAATGGTTGGCCAGATAGCATTTATGAAAGACTTTAAAAGTTATTTCTTTCACTCAAAACATGATGAAAATGTAGAATCCAAAGGTTACACACCACACTTTTACCTTCATTGTAGATTCAAACAAAGATTAATTCCACAAGATATTTCAAATTATTATTGGAATCATAAGCAACAAGATCCCCTAAACAGGAAGCTAACAAAAAAAATGTCCTGGCTCCTGTCTAGAATAAGGTTGAGGGAATATTAACCTTTTATGTGTTTCATGTAAAGTGCATAAATTAAAGGGAAGGTGCAGCCACTAGGTGGACTGAGAGCACAGAGACTCACATGAGTATGCCATACAATGACTTACCACTGACAAAAAAATCATTTTTGACATGTGAACTGTCCTCCTTTTGTCAAAACTAAATCAAGTAGAATGGTTGAATTCATATATTCTTACTGCCTCTTGATTTAGATGGAGAGACTGATTTTTCATTTCATCACTATCTGACTCAGGCTGACGTTCACGATATATCCGATGACCACTAAAATGAATTTAAGAAGACAGCACATGGAAACACTTTACTCTAAAACCGAAAAAAAATGGTTGTTTAAAAAAATCGCGTTTGTTGTAATTTTACTTTTTAGGGGAAAAAAAGTTGTTAAATGGAAATATAATGAAAAACACAACCACTACTGATGTTCACGTGAGTAAAATAAAAAGTTCATTATACATGATATAAAATTGTACATTAATGGTTTGATATTTCTAATGTGAAAACAAACGCAAAGTGTTCATTGATGGGAAAGGCCAGGAGGCAATGCCGTGCTGGACTATAAGGAGTGCATGAGGACATTCTGCCTCTGTTAGTGATATGTATTTTCAGATTCAGATTCAGATTCAGAAAACTTTATTTATCCCCGTGGGGCAATTAGAGTTGTACGAGAGCGGCTTATTGTAGAGACAGTCGGAGCAAGGAAAGACATAGGATAAGAGTAGCTTAGCACTTGAGGTCTTGAGGTAGTGGCTCCAGCATCAAATAGTATTGCACATCGAGCAGTATTGCACAGTGAGGACACAGTAAGACAGTATTGCACATGAAAACAGTATTGCACGTCAAGATGAGGACTGTATGCCTCTGTTAGTGATATGTATTTTCGTATATGACTTGAGAAAAAGAAAATGTTACAACAATAAAATAAATGTGAATAGTTCACAGAACAAGTGTTTGGTTCAAACTGAGTGTGTGTGTGTGTGTGTGTGTGTGTGTGTGTGTGTGTGTGCGTGTGTGCGTGTGTGTGTGTGTGCGTGTGTGCGTGTGTGTGTGTGTGTGTGCTTGTTTATTCATGCTCGAGTTTACCAACCATGTTCTGTTTGGATGGCACGATAAGGGATTATTTTTCTATCAAAGAATCATTTCACATCTATTGACCTAACTGCATTATAACAATCCAGATTGGTTTGTGTATGCACACCCGCATGCATGGGCAAGTAACAACGGTGTTTATTCCACTGACCCTGTTCTCATCGTAGATGATCTGCACCAAGCTGCGGTGCTTTGCCTCGCTGGGTGGAGGGGACATAGGCCGCTCAGGCTCGTGAGGTTTGGCAGCCTCCTCCTCCAGCTGTTGCTGTAACAAACACACAAAAGAGTATGACGCTTAAGAAGTTCAGCAATACAAAAACATCAGGCCTGTCATCTTTCAGGGAGTGAAAAACTCTGTTGAGAGTGTCTTTTACAACAATCTTCATTCAGAACTCTCTAGCAAAAACAGCACTACCTGACTTCACAGCACTATGAGCAATAAACTCTCCAAGGCCTTGTTAATCAAATACTGTAATATCTTGTGAATAACACACACTCATACACACTAATATTATACCCCTACCACTCCCTGCCTCTAATCTCAAAATTTGTCTTATTTCTTTTTAATTATTTTCCTTTGTACTCATGTATTATGCGCTCCCCTACTTTGCGGCTATACATGCTCATTTATTATCGGCATACCAATTTGATAGATTGAGATTTCTTGCGCTCAGGCAAACATTTTTTTGTGTCAAGGGAAGTTCTTTTACCTTGCTAACAGTGTTCGTTGTCAACACTCAAGTCCAAAGATGCATGGATAAATCAAGCCTTTTTGGCCCTGCATGCCTATGGCGATGCTAATCTGAGAGGGTCGAAGTTGTCAGCACATTTCATGCGTGCAGACACCAAGAAAACCAAAAGACCAAAGAGGCCAAAGAGGAACTGGGAGTAACTTTCCACAGTTGAAAATATTTGGGGGGGGGCTTTTTGTCAAATGTAATATACTGAACAAAAAAAGGAAACCTCTTTTAAGTGGGTGTTTACTCCATGTCCTTCTGTGTGGAAGAAGTATCCACCTGTCCAAGTGCACTAATACATTATGTTGGCATGCCTAAGCCGATCATACTGTTTCTCCACTAAACATGGCAGACAGCCAAAAAGAAGACAGAGTGGAAGGGATGTGAGTGCTTTAGCAGTCCCAAAACCTCTGCCATAATCCAACTCCTCCCCTAGGATAAATGTTATTTATAGCTGTATGTATTTTTAACCTACTCTTCGCCTAAATAAAAAGTGAAGACAGAAGCAGAAAGGAATGCAGCTGCCTGGAAGACTGCATGAACTTGTGGCATTTTGTAAATAAATCAGCAACAAAGCTTGACTACAGAAACAACACCTCAGAAAAGTACAGGATAGACATGCCAAGGTTATTGTAGTAAAGAAAAACTACGAAATAACAAAAATATATAAATAAAAAAAGTCACTCATAAAAACAAAAATACCTAACAATAAATATGGTTGTATGTCCTTAGCTTTACTTTCTTTATTTTGAGGTTTATTTTAAATGCATTTACTTAGGGCTGTGCAATAAAAAATTCAAATACAATTTTGATTATATCACTCCACCATTATAAAATTGGCATAATTATAAAAACTAATTTTGAGTTGTTCTGAGGCATTCGTGAGGCCCTTTGCCATGTTCCCATCTTAAAACTAAGTAGCCCGCACCCAATTTTCACTCGAGAGATCTATTGAAATTGTTGATTTAAATATTACAGTTCTGTTTGTCCATGGGTGCCCTGCTATTAGCTGGCAACCAGTTCAGGGTGTCCCCCACCGACTGCCTGAAGACGGCTGGGAGAGGCTCCAGCATGCCTGCGACCCATGTGGGCATAAGAGGATTAGATAAATGGATGAATACATTTTGTTTGGCTTAAAAGGAACTTTTAATTGCAGTGTTTCAAAGAATTTTCTTTTAAATGTTTACACATTTTCTTGTTTTGGACCAAAAAAATAAATGATAGTTTGAATTGTTGCGATTTCAGTTGTTACCAAAATAATCGGGATTAATATTTAAGGTTGCATGTGAATGGTCAACGTCAGATAAGAGCATACTGTTTCATATGAAACTTACTGCACATCATTACATTCATGTGCAAACCTGTTTTTTGCGAAGCTTGCAGATCTGCTGTTCCACCATAGTGATCTCCCTGTCGACACGGTCCATGTTCTGGATCAGTTCTTCCTTGGAAAAACGGGCTGGCACCAGATCCAAATCAGGATCCATGTGTACAGGGCTTACGGGGGAGATTGGCTCGAGCTTCCCCATGGCATTTCCACGATCCTATAAAAAGGAACAGGGTTAAGTGTGAAGAAGTACACAAGTAAAAAATATATAATAAATAATAATCATCATCATATTTGTGTTTTTGTACAAAGAGACCTTCAGGAGGATGGCATTTGCTTTTTCCTGTGCTTATTTTCCATGCATGACAAAATGGATGTTCACATAAAATGTTGGTAAACCACTGTCCCTTTGTGGTTATTTGTCTTTCCAGTCTTCATGTGCACTGTGTAAGAGCTCCCCCCTTTATTTTCTTCACACGTCTGTTATTTGTGCTGCACTTCCCCCTCTAGTCCACCATCATTTGGTGCACTTCAAGGAGTGATTGTATTTGACAGGACTTACATAATGACTTAACACTGCATTGCTCAGACAGTAATTACTGGCAACTCTACATATTATAGAAAACATTTTTAGCATTTTACAGGTACTTGTGATTCAAGTTCCGACTCTCTGGGTAACTTTGAAACTGGTGTCAGGAATACCAGAGTATTGGCAGTTCTACAGTAGTTTTGATCTGCAGTTTCATCCCTAGCCTTTTGGAATTTAGGTCGTCTATTATTTATTAATTACTGTTTCGCAGCTCTTTAAGCCTAAAAATACACGATAGTACAGTTTAGATATTATACAAAAACAAAACACAGAATCAGCACAAGCTACTGGAACACTCTACTGCCCAAAGACAGCTGGGATAGGCTCCAGCACGCCCCTCGACCCTTGTAAGGATAAGCGGATCAGATACCGAATGGATGGATGGATGTTTACGATGCTTACATACAACTGTGAAGAGTGAATATGCTACAAAAAAAAAAAAAAAAAACAAAAACAACAGAAAAAAAAACTGTGCTAGCCGCTAATTAAAGACAACCCTTTTGGAGTTTTTGGAAAGAAGAAAAAAGAAAAAAATTGGAACGGCTAATTGAAAGGGATCCAGCCTCCCCTTAGTATTAACAATTACATTCATGGTAATGGTGTAAAGGTGAGTTTATTTTATTTTCAGCAGCACAAAAAAGATTGGGGACAACTAATCTACATTACAGTACGGTAGGCATACATCTTTTTTAGTGGTGGCATGCACTCAATCATAAGCATAGTATTTGGATTATATGACCTAAAATGGACTTATTTCATACACAATAACAAAAAAGTCTAATTGGAACGAGAGTGGCCTGCATGTCCTGACCACACACATTTTTAGTGTGCCTTATCTCGTTCACAGATTCCAATGGTGATTTGACAGAAAAAAAAAAAACATGCTCCATCATTTCTTGGAAGCCTGCGCTCCCAATGAAGCACGCCTCTTTGCTCATTCACAGCGTATGTGCGGTGGATGTGTCAGAAGTCTGGATGGGAAAATACACATAAGTACCGTATTTTTTTGGACCATAAGGTGCACCTGGAGTCCTTTGATTTTCCTTTAATAGGCTCAAAAATCAATAATGCGCCTTGTAATGCGGTGCTCCCTATGTTTTGATGAATGTTGGCTTTTCAGTTCATCTCCTTTAATTCAAATTGCTTCCTTCTACGTTCGTGTTGTCATTCTCATCTGCAACTAATCCCTAGCAGGCGTCTATATGTTTCCATCACACCAGAACTAGGACTATTTCCTGCTTCTGGGTCTAAGAATAATGGCAAATGGTGTCCTACCAGCCTAATGCCAACTATTATTTGCAGGGCGTTTCCAATGTTAGCTTGGTATAGCTTTGTAGTCTGTGGGACTAAGCGGTAAACATAAATTTGAATTCCTTCCCCTTCACTTTTATGATTTAATTTAATTTCTTGTTGGCTCTCTTATGCTCATATGCATCTAATCCAGGGGTGTCAAACATACGGCCCGCATCCGGCCCACAAAGGAGTTTAATCCGGCCCGCGAGATGATTATGTAAAGCAGGGGTGTCAAACATACGGCCCGCGGGCCGGAACCGGCCCGTAAGTAGGTTCAATCAGGCCCGCATAATAATGTAAAAGTGAAAAAAATGCATTAAAGACACAGAATTAATATTTTTAATCAGGTGCAATTCATTGAGTATCCGCAAGGGGACACTGTTTTGATCAGAGAAGAAGACAACAGCAGCCTCAGTCTGTCACTGAGACAGACCCATGACAGCAGACGCTATCAATAGCACTCTCACATTTACACATTTAATAGCACTCTCCTTAGTTTGTAAGGTGTAGGCAGGGATTACATTTAGATTTTATATGCACGTGTAAATGCTTTAAAACTTGCTTTCTTTATGAATCTTGTTTAATCTTAAAGTGCATTACTATAGTTTTCAATACCAATTACTTGTTAAAGTTTGTACAATCAGTGGGATCAGTTGCAATGCATATATGTGAATGATAAAAGTAAATTGCACATTTGTCGAAGGAAATGTAAGGTGCTTCATGAAATGTTTTGTAAAAGATATGTTCATTAAATTTCAACATTTTCCTAATGTTCTTGTGCTTCTTTATACCAAAACAAAGGAAAGACATATTGTTTTGGTTATTTATAGCAAAGCATTGTATCATTTTAATGGTCCGGCCCACTTGACATCTACCGAGGCCGTATGTGGCCCACCATGTGAAATGAGTTTGACACCCCTGATCTAATCGCTTGAAGGCGCCCAGAACTACTTCCTGCTTCCTTGTCTAAGTATTATGATAAATGTCGTTTTAATAGCTTAATGGTGCAATCGACGCTTCGACGCAAGGCAATCTGAGCTTTTCTGGCTGGACCGGCGTGAGGTAAATGACACAGCCAGCTTCAATACTTGCTGGGACAGAGCAAAAAAACATTGGATATGGTGAGTGCATTGACTTGTTTTTAGCTGGTGAACTGTCAACCGAGATCGCATTTAGTATTAGCCAAAGTAATACCACAGCCGCTGGTCAGCAGATTGAGTAGTGCCGTTCAAACTCGGTTTTCATCTGTCGGAGGATCCTCTCCTCTGTTCGAAGCAACCCCCATGTAGTTGCACGGCGAACAAAAACAAGCGAGACATGCGATGCTACCATCTGTTTTCGACCAGTCCGAAACTAGCATAATCGTGCCAAATCTATTAAATACACTTATGGCACAACTGTAAAATGTAATAAACTATTTAAAATACAAAGCTTCACACAAAGAATGCACCCTTTAACCTGGTGGCTCTTATGTATAATTTAAAAACAAAACACCCTTTCATTGATATTGCGCCTAATAATACAGTGCGCCTAATGGTCCGTAAAATACGGTGTATTTATATATATATATAAAATATATTAAATACGATGTATATAAAAAGTGTGGAAGTGCAGGCATTTAGAAAGCTTTGGTCATTTGTTTAATTTACAGAAGCTACTGACCTTAGCAAGATCCTCAGGTCCTCCAAGAGGCAACTGTGGCCGATGAGATGAGGGTCTAATCAGAGAATCTGGCCCCATCTCCAAACGAGGCCGTTTGATCTCTCCAAACTCCATCTCTGAATGGCTACTAGGCTCCGGTAAGTAGATGTGCTCATAGCGGATATGCTGCTCTTGTCCTCTGCAACAACAAAATTGTGTAAAAATAAAAATGAAAATATCTGTAAACTAAAGAAGGACAAGCAACTGATGCACCCCTTAGAAAAATGTTTATAATTAACTTTATCACAGGTGAGTTCAAACCATAAATGTAACACAAAGTCCGATTCCTAAACAATTTATTAAAATTTCAAATTCATCTGACAACATTACCCTTAAAAATAAATGGCTTACAGATGAAGTGACTTGGAAAAACTGCCCCATACATGTACATATACATTTGGCAAAGACTCATCATAACTACTCGTGTGCACAACTACTGAGATGACAAGCAGGGGTGTGGCCCTCCTCGCTATCCTTAATCAAGTGGCCATCCCTTACGAATACAAATGGCATCCCTTACAGATACAAATGGCTCACGACTAAAAGTCACGGGGAAAGGAGAGGGGGAGGAGAAAAAAAAAGAAAATTTGGTGCCAAAGAGCCAATGCCTCAATTTTTGTTAAAGGGGAAGTCAACCCAAAAACGTTCCTTACAAATAATATGTTCGTTGCAGCCCCACTAGTCTAAACATGGAATTCTCATTAATATCACATTTGTGGAATATGAGTCAAGCAGTAAAATTCACCCAATTTTGTCTATCTCAGGGGACCACCATGTTGCCACTTGCTGCCCATTGAAAACTACATCACAGTTGCTCAGCTACATCATGGCTCAACTTCAGAAAACAGGAGTCGGGAGTTAATTCTAAACATGGTGTGAATTAAACTGAATTATGAAAAAAAAGTAAAGACTAAGGCTACATTCAGACTGCAGGTCTTAATTTTCAATTCAGATTTTTTTGGTGAAATCCAATTTTGCTGCGTAATCGTTGATATTATATATTAATTACTTGAGTCTGCCCGGTGTGTGAATCAAATGCGTCTCCAAAGTGATCCGCATGTGCAGAAAAAGAGACTACGTCACTCACAACGTAGTGTTTAAATAAATATGGTCCAGTGTATAGGGGCTCATCTTTTTTTCTCATCTATACAGAGGAGCGACCGAGAAGTGGGATTAAATTCAAGTCAAATATAAAGTAAACACTGTTACTCTAAACAACTTTGCAGATTCACGGACAATTGGCAACCACGCTTGCAAGCAGTGTATAAACTGTATTTCCATTCTTAAAAAAAAAAAAAAAGATTACCTAAAATCTGCCCTGTAGTCAGATGCCAGAAGGGCAGTAACTTTGCTACCAATGTCAAAATGGAAATGGCTTTTGAAGAGCAGAGGGGAATACACAACCATAATTGATGGCCTCGACCCACAATGGCCTAGTGTGTGGTTTGTGTACATACCAAGAAGCATGGATTCTCTCTGTCTAGTTGGGTGCTAGTGTGCTGGTGTAATCTGCGCTATCCTCTGCCAAAACGACAGATTACCTCTTGAAATGTATACATTATGGCACTTGTGTGATATGCAAGACTGCACCCAAATTGAAAAAGGACAATTAATAAAAGATGTTTATCAGGGCTTCTTATCTAACCACTGCTGAAAAAAATGCTAGTAAAATTCATCACCACATGGCCAGATGGTTAAACACAAACCAGCCATCGCCCCTGCCACCCCCGCATTCACTCACATTCTTTTTCATCTTCATAGATGGCTGGCACTTACATAATCACACCAAGCGTGAGCCCACCCCCCACACCCCATCTCTCTGTCCCTATTTTCTTTCCTCCTCTCGTGAGCGTGCAGAATAATCTGATCCCTGGGGAGGATTTGTCTGGAGGATGAGAGAACGAGATGCGTGGAAGGATGGGGGAGGAGGGAGTGCAAAACAACACAAACATCAACACCTAACAACCAGCTCTATTAGATTCTCACTGGCTCGGCGATGATTATGGCAAGAATAGAGATTATGTGTGCTGATAGCCGCCCCGTTACTGGGAAAACACGACAATGAGTCTGTGTCTGCCAATCTATTTGCTACTCGAAAGCGGAATTGCTCCACAGCTGAACAAGCCACAGATGCTGCTTACTAAAAGGCTACACACAGAATGAATGAAAGAGTGCAGACAGGAGCCATAAATGGAGACGTATTGAAAAATAAATAAATGAATAAACCCAGATCATAAATCTTTTATGTTCATATTATGCGGATGTGCCAGAGGTGGCCCCTTTTCCCCACTTACAGCAGATACATTTTCACATACTGTAGACTGATTCGGTTTATAGTGTCTGCTTTAATGTAACAGAGCTTGTATGTGTATTTGATTCATATGTTCCCACTGAAAGCGTTGCATCTACCTGGTGGGATTCACATACATCTTTTTGGCATGGAAATGTTGGTCACGTTGAATGAATAAATGATCAGATTTACAGCAGAACGAGGGAAGCCTTGTTCTAAATTCTACATATTGGAAATCTGTTGTATGTTTTGATCGAAGGCAGACGTAAAAAAAAGTTATTAAACCTGAGAAAGAAAAATACTTTTTAATTACATTGTATTAATAGGGGGGTTATAATTACAAAATGCAACATTAAAGTTACAGTAAATAACTTCATTCTCTGACTAGATCACTCTACAGTTTTTTTTTTTTGCAAACATGTCATCACCACATTTGTGCTCAGCAAATAAGCCCAATTAGGTTATTTTTAATTTGTAATAGTCATTTGGTCGGGGTGATCTCAGACAGATGGGAAGCGACTGACAAAGTTTTGCCTGATGTAAAAGAACAGCAAGCATAGTGGCTAACAAATTATTACATTGTTGTGTTTTTTTTTTTTTACCGGTAATTACAGTGAATTTGGAGTACAGGATTAATATATGAATACTCCACTTGATGAAATATGTAGTTCATTAAAGAAAGACTGGGATAAAATCTATGGACATTTTAGTTCAAAAGCAAAGACGAGACAAAAACTTAATTTATGATTCCTTGGCGTCAATTACTGCTGTCTCAACTAAGTTGTCACATGATTCGCGGCAAAATAACACTGAGTCGCGAGTTCTCGTGAGATTCACAGCAAAAATAACGCTACGTCAGTCGGTGAAGAGTTGCTGGTCAAATACTACTGTGTAAAAGTGGAGCATTAATGGTCATGCTTTGCACAACCCCCAGGAGAAAGGAGAAATTATTACACTGAAGTGGAGAGAGAAAAAAATTAAAAAAAACTTATGCTTAATTTTAGCCAAAGGGAAAGGAATGTGGGCACGATGTAGCTGAGAAAATACAACAAACCTGAAGAGATATGTTGCAGTACACCACAAAAACATTGTGGTAAGTTAAAAAAAAGTTTGGTGGTGGTTGTTTATAACACAACATTAACCCAATGGCTATAAAACTCCAACAAAAAAAACGTGAACAAATGTAAACAATTCCCAACCTTAGATCACAAAGTAATGTAAATCAAATCTACAGGGTTCACTACTTCAGTCATCTAATGATGTAATCCGTATGTCATTATAAAGTGGTACTGGTAGTATTTGAACATGAAAACCTTACCTCTCATTTCCAGGTTGGAACTCGGAAAGCAAGGAGGGCCGACGGCGATGAGGCTGAGCCAAGTGCGAGCTGTAGTCTCTCGCATGATGGGAGTGGTAGTCCACCATTCCAACTTCCTAGAGAAGGAAATGCAACAAATGCAGGAGCAGACATAAATCATATTTTGACATAACCCGCCCTTCCTGCATGTGAAAACATTTTATCAGAAATGTGTACATAGGCATTAAGGATCAAGTACAGGTGCAACTTTGTGGAGGGTGTTATTGTGCCTTTTATATCTGGGACATAATCTTGATAATTGCAGTGGGTGGATGGAAACTATCCTCTCTACAACGGCAACATGAACTTCAAACCGCTAATGAGGAAATCGAGTTGTGTGCACAATATTGTGAAGGGGAATGTTCCTAAAGAAAGCCACAAGTGAGAGTCGCTGGGGTCGTGCTCTCTCCAACGGGTCAGAGTCATGACATTACATCTGTCAGTCAAGCAGACAGTATCGTAAACACAATAATCAAAGGTTCTTTAATTAGTTTTAGTTTGGAAAGTTAAGCATTGGGAGGAATGCATTCAATGCATTTTGTGCCAGGCCTCTTACTGTGTGTGCCCGCTGGAGCTGCAAGGGTAAGGTGGCAGGGTTTGGCAGGTGCCGTGTGTCCATGGTCCTCCGGCCCGGTGGCACAGACTGGGGATGAGAGGACATCCTGGCACAGCCTCTTCCTCTACAGACAGGAAGTCGGTGTGGTTGCCAAGCAGATGAGTTTTATGTGCATCGTGGTTTCTTTCTCTAAGCCAGCATGCTGTAAAGGAAAAAAAAACCAGCCAAAATACATCAAATATGAATAGAAAGTAAATACATTACAAATACAGTCACTAAAACATATACACAGGATGAAAGCGAAAAATCAAAACAATTGCTGATGGTGAATACCGCAAATAAAATAAGCACATGCAACTGTACCATTAACTCAACGTAATGTGAAATGAATACATAACACCGGATTAGAATGCTTTAAGAGCGATGTGAATCATTTAAAACCATCATAGAGAAATCTATCACTCATTGCTATCGAAGCCCCTCAAGCTCTTCAATGGCAAAACAATCCACTTGGACTATAAATTCACCGCAAGATAGAGTGTGTTTAAATCCTAAAAACAGCAAGTGAATTGTTGAGTCACACTCGTATACAGCTCAGTTTAAGAATTTATCTCTTAAGATATGACAGCAATGCGTGTTCCCACTGCAACTACAAAAACAGCAATGGGTTAAGGTTAGGGTTGTTGTGAATGCTCTGGGTTGCGTGTGCACCATGGCATCTGTGGGTGTGTAGTGATAGTGGAGAGACATTTTATGCTCTTAGAAAAATGTTGAACCCATTGTGTATAAAAAAAAAAATGTTTGTTTTTTTTTGATGAGACTTAAAATGTTACAGTTGTGGGTATTTTACCAACTCTATCAGGAAATTGTAATGTCCAAGTTTGGAGACAGCTCTTCTTCCTTCATAACTTTTCAATGGCCTAAGTGAGAGTGAGTTCATGCAACAAATCATATCTAACCCAAACAGAGAACACAGTGAAGTTAGCCAGGTTGGGATGTGGTTGACAGACAGAGTATAAACAAAATGTCAGACGGAGTCTGTCTGTGTTTAATTTAGCTATTCGCACAATACGAGGCTCTAGTTTGCAGCCAAAACGCTCATAAATGTGGCAATTTTTCAGTGTGTGCGGGTAAAAATTTCATCCGGTCACATAGGGCGAGTACAGATTGTTATGCTCATTCTGGAGTTGCCATCTTTTTACAGCGCTTCAGCCAGTCTCCTCCTCTTGCAGAATCTCCTATTCCAATGGGGGAACAAGGGTCATCCAGTGTGTTCGGCAGTACACATGGAAATAGCTCATGGATGAGCTATTCATTGGTTAGAATATAGAATACGATCAGCAATAATCACAGGGGAGGAGGATCTACCGCTTTGAACGTACCCGATGGATTTGAGTTAAACCCGCTACCGCTATAAAATAAATGATGGGCTGGCTGCCGCTTTTGCACGTGAAAGTGCGTACACAAACCCACGCGTGTATGCGTCACAGACTGGAGTGACAACAAACGTTTTTGCTGATTAGGAAAAAATAAATGCTTTTTCACTGATTTTTCCCCCCGAAACAAATGAGATACAGCATGGCTATATTTGCTGATGTATCGTTGTCTCCATTGGAATACTATTGTTTTGTATTAAAGATTGACAGTGACTCAAGATATACGTGCAAAATATTTTACTGTCAGCGGAATTTTGTCTGCCACAAGTGGCTGACAAAACAGGTAAATTATTTTTTTGAATTTCAAAAGAAGACATCATGGAAAAAAACAGCAATGTTGAGAACCACTGCAGGTTGTGTGCAGGCTTACCCGCACTTCAGACAAAACTCTGCTTGTGTGATGAGAATTATGACATCGAAAGCAGTACTTTTTTTTTTCGCCTGTTGCTCGGCTGATGTGTCCCTGTCTTATATTTATCATTCCTACCATATGATTTGGCACCTTCTGCTGGCTCTCCTTCACCACCAAACATCCACCTTTCTCTTCTCATTTTCTGAAAAATATATATAAATAAACCTCAGCGATAAACTGCTTCCTTTTTGTCATTCCAGTCTGTGACGTGTGTATGTGTGGTGCGCGTGTATGGCAATCTTGCCATCCCTGTGCACATGCTTTCACGGGATGCATGCTTTCTTTTACAGTAGACTTGATTATTGTGATGGTTTTCTTACTGGACTCCCTCAAAAGAGCATCAAAAACCTGCAGCTCGGGTTCTGACCAGAACAAGGAGATCAGATCATATTAATCCAATCTTAAAGACTTTATACTGGCTTCCAATCAGCTATAGAATAGATTTGAAAATTCTACTCCTGGTCTAAAAATCGCTCAATGGTTCGGGTCCTGAATAGATTAAAGAGATGCTGATTGAATATAAGATCAGTAGGGCTCTGAGATCTGCACACCTGATGGAGCCCATACTTGGGAGTAAACATGGTGAAGCTGCATTTAGATGTTACGCTGCATACAAATGGAATAAGACGCCAACAGAAGTGAAATCAGCCCTGAGTGTAAATGCTTTTAATTAATTAGTACTATTTAGTGGTGCCTTTCGTGGCACTCAAAATCAGTACAATAAAATAACAGAACATAAAATATCAATTAAAATGGCAAATGATAAGGGCAATTTTAAAGTGAATTAGCAATCCGATATAGGTGTGTTTTGAGAAAAGTTTTAAAGGGGGATAGTGAGTCTGTGTTGCAAAGGTCAGGTGATAACAAGTTCCAAAGATGTGGGGCACAGCGGCTGAAGGCTCTGTTACCGACCGTGGTCAGACAGGCAGAAGGAACGGAAAGGTAGAGGGAGGGCAAAGATCTGACGGTGTAACAATGTAAATTAGTTCAGAGAGATAAAGCCGCGATATGGAGAGATATGGCCCTTGGAGGTACAGATCACTATTTTGTATTGAATGCAGTTCCGGACAGGGAGCCAGTGGAGTTGGTGTAAGACTGGTGTGATGTGTTAGGTGAAGGGGGTCCTTGTGATAATGCGAGCATCAGAGTTCTGGAAAGTTGTAATTTTTGTGTAACTCCGGGTTAAAAATCTTGCTGTTTACATTAGATTAAGCTCCTTTCAACATTTTTTTAGGAAACGTTCTTTCCTTTACACAGTGTTCTGTGAATGTGTTTTAATGCTGTCAATGTGCATGCATTCTTTTAATAGTTTTCTGAATGTCATTAACTGTTGTGTTTGTGAATGCTTGTAGGTGTTGTGTCTTTGCCTGTGTGAAGCACAGTGAGTTGCCTTGTGTATGAAATGTGCTATATAAATAAAGCTGTCAAGTGCGCCATATAAATTAAGCCGCCTTGCGTTGCCTTGCCTGTGTGGAAGCTGCAGCCAGCCGCGGCCTCTAACTCAAATACAAAGGGTGTGTTCGGAGAGGCGTGCTCCCCTCTTATTTCCGAACTGTAATGTCTGACGCACTGGCACCCCTTGTCCCCATGTTGCTTTCAACCACAATGTCTTCATTCTCAACACGAAACAGAATAATGTCCGATGTTTGTGCAAGCCTGCACACTTATAGTGGTTGATTATTATGCTAGGCAGGCGGTAAAGAGTTGGTTTTCCGAGGCGAAGCGGGTGATCAGGCCCCACACTATAAGAACTGGCCCCTTGAACAAAACAATGTTGACATAAAAACAAACTTTTTTTCTATTGTGGCTTCTTTTAATGTTCTATCAACTAAGCGACCTGGTTTGTCGGCCACTGTTTGATGGAGGCAAACCTCTTGTTACAGTAAAAAATTTTGCAAATATATCTTGAGTCATTGTCAATCTTTGTCATATGAGATAACGGTATGGCAACCAAAACGATACTGAACATCAGCAAATATGGTCACGATGTACCTCTCCAAAAAAGGGTGCGAGCAAATCCCTGTGCGATGCGACCAACTAAAACAATTAGTCACTCCTAACTGAGTTAGTTACTCATGCAATAGTAATGGAAGCCCAGTGTAAAAATGTGCAAATAAATGTGCGCCCCATGGAAAGAGGTCATCGTTTGTATTTTGACTCATGGAGTAAGCACTTCATCAAGCCAACAAATATTGTCAATTGTCAATTAGCGTGCAGATCAGTATGTGGTGCATGCCGATGGCACATTCCAAATCACTCTTAGGACCAGGTTAATTTCGCCACAGAATCATTTAATATTTCTATGATATCAATGTTAATCAACACAGTAATATGTTTATTTGAAGCAAGGCTATATTTAAATCTTGCTTGTAGCTGGTAAACTTCAAATTTCACCTTTAGGCGATATATCTGAGTGAAATATATTTCGCGTTCAATTAAATTTTGTGGTTTAAGTTTTTGTACAATATTTGATTAGAGCAGTGGTTCTTAACCTGGGTTCGATCAAATCCCAGTGGTTCGGTGAATCGATCTCAGGGGTTCGACGGTGCCTCTGCCAAGGAGGTTAAGACACACCCGACTCAAAATGTCAATTAGTGATGACACACCTGCTTGGCCATCATTGGCTGCAGATGATCACATTACATTGCTTGTCCAAAGAGTTCTGCGGGAAATTTAGTTCGCTCAGTAGTCAACGTGTGACTGTCGTGATAGTACGTTGTGTGATTTTAAAAAAACTATACTTATGCCATGTAATGTAATTTACTTTTTTGTGTTTTTAATACATGTTTTTGTTAATGTCTTGAATTTGTAAAAAAACATTTTTTTATTTTTCACTAGTGAAGGGTTTGGTGAACGTGCACATGAACTGGTTGGTTTCGGTACCTCTAATAAGGTTAAGTACCAGTCGATTAGAGGGAAAAGCATTGTTCTGTTTGAGTGAAACTTGATTGGCAATACAAATTTGTTTTGTACAATTTGAGTTGAATTTATGCTATGCGAAACATACAGTTTGTGTTTTTCAAGAATATTTTATTAACATGAAACACATCCATCATATTGGCATTATCTATTATCGGTGCTCAATATTAACAAGTCCTAAAATGGAAGGACTCTGTCTTGAAAAAAGACGTATTTGAGGCCCGGCAAAAAAAAAAAAAAAAAAAAAAATTGATATGAACCAACCAGCATTTGATGCATGCTGATCTAAAGACATTTGCCAGAAAAGGACAAAAACACATATGGCAGTCACAAGAGCTGCAGAGGGCAACAAACCTGAATCAAGAAAGGGGACCAGCACAATGAAAGCGCTTTGACATTAAATGTGAGGCGAATGGGGCCTTCCAGACAAGAGGC